ATTCCACGGTAAATTTTTTTACAGATAGTTTTATTAGTTCCACGAACATTATCGATAGAAGAAAATGGATCTTGTAATTCACTTGGATCTACACTGGGAGCTTTGTACTCATCGATCAGAGGTACCATTTTATCAGCGGGAGCATTTGCGTTTGATATCAACGTAGTAACTTCCGTTATTGCTAACCTAATTTCAGCCTTAATTTCATCCTTCATGTCGTCCATTGACTATAATACATTTATTATGAATAAATATTAAAAAAAAAAGGAAGGATTTATATAAATAAATATAAATTATATAAAGCAATTCAAATTTACAAATACCAATACCTTTTTCAAAATTTCAAGATCTTCTGCTACATTTTTTGCCTCCTGTTCTCTTTGTTCATTATTGTACATAGCCATGGTAAAGTTTAAATCACTACAAACTTCTTCAAATTCTTTAATATTTTTTTCAAAAGCCTCTTTAACAACGTTAGCATTTATAACCTTTTGAATATATGACAATTGCGTAACTTCTTTAGTAAATTTCCTAATATTCTCCAAAACATTAACAAATCTAACCCAAGCATGATAATAATCCTGATTTCTGAAATTTTTTTCATTTGCCTGATATTTACGTTGCAATGATTTGACGGCAGTTTGTGCAATTTCAACACGATCTAATAAAGCAGCACATATTTTTTTATTACATTTTGCATTATCATAGATTTGTACCATTTGATTAAGTATGCTCGTAACCATGTTGAATAGGGGAATGAATGGAGTAATTGCATCTCCTACAGTTTGGATGGCACCGGCTGTATGATTAGCCACATCAGTTGACCCTCCAGGCCTGTCATAACTTCCTCGTAAATTGGGAGTATAATCGGAGTGTTTTTGGTGCGTCATCACTAATTAAATCTAAGCGTTGAGTTATATTAGTGGCAAAAAAAAAAAAAAACTTTTTTTCCTTAAAAGAGTAGTATGAACAACTCTAGGACGTCCGTGCATATACGTACATATTTATATTGTTTACAGTAAGAATGTTTCTACATATAGTTATGAAAGACATAATATAACCGGTTTTATCAATCTGCGACAGCTTGTGATTTATTTGTTATTCGTTTGACAAAGCACTAGCGTTAGTAGGAGTTTTAGAACAGATACACCGATGCATAGAAAGGTAACACATCATTTTAGGAAGCACAGAACTTCTTCAATAAGCTCTTTTTTTTCATAAAGTCGAAATATGCAATCTTTTATCAATTTGCGAAGAATGCTACTGAAACTAAGAAATTTGAATAAATTTTCTTATACGAATAACTTGTACCCACAATCAATTTCGATGTAACACTGTTATTTTCGTTTCTCTTATTTGCTTAGATTTATATTTTGTACTACTTATTTTTTATATTTAGTATCTCATATTACTTATTTAGCTTGTGTATCGGCATTAACGTTAGCGTTAGGCATATCTATACCTTATATAGTATTTCTTATAACCGTATTGTTTGTAATGCAAAATTAATACGAATATGACGTCATAGTAATGACGTGAGTAATCTTTAAATTGCCTATAAATTGAAATAATGGTTTATGAAAGTGCCGATTTTTATATGAAAAATTAAAAAATTTTTTGGGGTGTTTTTTCTGCTTTTTTTTTTTTAGGGTTGTTTAGTTTTATGGTTAGATTTGATATTTAAAGAGTATAGGTAGATTTTAGCAGAGCTTATGTTTAAATTGAGCCCCCAAATTTCAGTATCAGTCACGACATATATTTATTTAAAGTTTGCTATCCTAACCCAAACTCGACATAGTATTGTTGATACTTTTACCGTTCGAGAATAACACTGGGGATCCAAGAGATCTCAATTCGTAATTACAATGACCTGAATCTTGTGGATCAACTTAAGAAAGGATCTATTTTGTTTGCCTAAAAATTTTAGACATTTTTTTCGCTATTTTAACAAAGTTTCATGCAATTGCAAATCTAAAGCTCCAATGTGATGATCACATAAGCACGATTATTTAGCTAGAATCAATACAGTCGTCCTCCTCTACAGTCACCTCCTATATAGTCACACCCTCTTTATAAGCACCATATTATTGGCAATTTATTTATTGAAAAAATTTTATATAATCACATTACTATTAAATTTTATAAACATCTTCTTTATGTAAAACAAACTGCATGTTTGAGGAGGACGATTGTATATCGTTTTACTAATTCTATATCATTCCGGTGTAACTTATCGCGAGATTATTATTAAATGATCGATCATTAAAAGCTTTCCTATCAGCTTATTGTGCGAATTTCCTAGCTTATAAATTACGATGTATAAGATCATGAGAATGAATAATGAATAATGTATAATTTCTCGATCAAATGCTATACACTGTAATAATTTAACTTTTTTTTCATTCATACTAGATACTTTGAAAATTTTGGCGTAA